TATATATATATATATATATATATATATATATATATAGTTTTTTTATATTTACATTTGTACATGGCCTTACTTAGGGATCCTTTAAACTAACTAGAGGAAAATGATAATAGAATTTTTCCTAAATGAAATACACAAGACTTTCCTTGCCTGAAGGATACTTATTCACAAGTAAAAAGTTAGATGAATATAAAAATATCTTTGAATATTTTCTGGAATACATTGTCTCTATTTCTGAGGTTTAAATGTTAGCTACAAAGAGAGTGGTGTTTGTGCAATAAAATGAACTATTTGGGATATGAGGGTGCATTTTTTAGAACTTTGCTTTGAGTTGTCTTGATAGTGAAAAAGAACACACAGATTACCCATGCAGCTGAGTAGGGAGTGCTTCTTAGTATAATCAGGAAGAATTTAGTCCAGAAAACAACTGTTTCAGTGGCCACTGACCCAAAACTTCATTGTCAGTTAGGCATAAAGTCTCCTGGAGCTGCGGTCCCCCTGACAGGAAGGCACTCCCCAGTTTACAATTTGCTCACTGCCCATCAGTGCCTGTTGATATCATCAAAAAGACCAGCAATACCAGGGGTTGATAAGGAGAAATGTGAACCTGCATACATTGCTGATGACATTATTCATAACAGCCCCAAGGTAGAAACAACCTAAATGTCCATACACTGGTGAAGAGATAAAATGTCCACACAAAGGAATATTATTCAACAATTAAAAGAACAAACTGCTGATAGATGCTACAACATGGATGTACTTTGCAATCCTTTTGCTATATGAAAAGGCTAGATGCAAAAGACTACATAATATATGATTCCATTTGTATGAAATGTCCAGGAAAGACAAAGTTATAGTGACAAAAAGTAGATTTAGTGATTGCCTGGGGATGGGAGTTGAAAAAACAAATGGCTATAAGGGATCTTTTAGGACTGGTGGAAAAATTAGATTGTGGTTATGATCACACAACTCTGTAATTTACTAAAAAGAATTGAACAGTACTCATAATAGGTGAATTTTATGGCATGTAAATTTTGTCTCAGTAAAGGTCTTAAAAATGTGTACACCTAGACCTGTGGGNAACCAAGTGCATATAATGCTATATTGACTTTACTGCAGTGGTCTGGAATCTAAACTATGTTATCTCTGAGATATGCCTGTATATCCTTTCAGACTTTCTCTATGCAGATATAATATCTATGTATTTTTACATTTTAATGGAATTATGGCATATATACTTTGGCAAGATGAAGCCACCTGGATTAAAAACATTAATGTAAGACACTCAAGATAAACTTGAAATGGAGAATAGTTACTGGTATTGAGCCAGGCAGAATAACTGAATTCTTATCTAAGTGGAGACTGTTCTAGTAAAAGTTTCATTGCTTTGTTTTTTCTCATCACAAATTTGAGGCAATTTCACCTTTGCTTTAACTCTTAGAAAGGGACTCCTATATAAAGATTTATATATGAATTTATGTCACATACAAACATATACAAATATACATGTACACATGTATTCTTCCCAAACCATACACAACTTCTAATCTGTATGTGAATGTAAAAACAAAACCCCTCAAAATTAGGAAATAACTCAAGCTGTTTATGAGTTATTTCTGGCCATATTATTTACATAAATTACAAGGATTTATCTGAGAAAGTCTAATGATACATTCCTCGGTTGATTATAAGATTACTGAGACAACAGATACTTAGTTTTTTTTATGCACCTGAACTTTACCTAGGAGGTAATTATGAATCAGACTAACAACCTTCTGCAGTTTCTCTCCTCTGTGACTAAATTTATCACACAAAAGGTTGTGTTTCTCTCACCTTAGCAGTCTTATATCAGGGGAGGAAAAAAAACCTAAGCATTTCATTTGGCAAGTTTTAGAAGCAAGAGATCTTCCTGAATTTTGAAACCATTTGGTTCAGTCCTCTGAAATGATACTCCTTCTGGGGACACCATCTTTCATTTCTACTTCCATTTCTGCGAGCCTGCTGCTTTCTCTGATTCAGTGTCCACATATCCTCTGGGTTTATTCCCACAATCTTTGTTCTGAACTTCCAGTTGAATTCTTTTTCATCCTGAAGGAACGTGTGGGGAGGGGAAGAGGTTGTAAAACATTAAGCAGATAATGAATTGCCCTTATTCCTCTTTTTTTCCCCCCCCTCAGAAACTGGGCACATCTACAGAAAGAAGAAAAGCAAATGAATTCTGTGAAGAATGAAGTAACTTTTACAAAAGATGCCCAGTGCTTTGGGTGGTTAAAAGTGAATTTTCCTGAGTATTAATCCCAGCTATATCCTTGTTAGTTATTTTAAGAGACAGTCTCAAACACTAAAAAGTGGCTAATTTAATTTGAGGAGTATGGTGGCCCAAGAGCACACCTTCCATCATTAATAGACAGTGGATTTGAAAAGCACTGCATTTTGTCCTTTGAGAAAGAAATAAGAATTGTCTGAGCTCATGGAAAAACAATAAAGCTTTTTTATGTAGTGAGTTTAGATATAGCCTAAAAATGATTGATTGATATCTCACATTTTAATTAAAATTCTGCATTTCCTGGATGGACACTTTCTCCAAGTTTCCTCCAAGTCTGAATATAAAAAATGATTTTTCTGTGGCATGAGTCTGACCCATTTCCTTACTAGTTAAAACACCTGCCTTTTTTGGAATGGTTTTCCTCTTGCCGTTGGACATAGCCCAAGAGTTAACCAGGAACTAGTGGCTTGGGGAGAGCAATGGAGAACGGAGTTGAACTGAACCTTTACACACTTCCTGTGGTGGGTTGCATCATAACTAAGTTACAAATTAAAGGAGATATAAAATTTAGATCAATTAAATCATAATAAGCTTTACAGTTTATTGCTTAATTTCTTCCCTCCTTTTCTTGCTTTGCTTCAAGGTTATATTTTAACAATGTTCCTTGGATAGATGTTTAAAACAAGCCTATTATCCTCTGTAGACATATAATTTTAACTATAAAGAAAGAAAAATGATATCATAATTTTATCAGGTTTTCAAAACGATATTCATCGATTTGAAGTCATTTAATACCTAATGGTTTATGCAATTTTAGGCTCATTTCAGTTACGCTTCAGTCATACTTTAAGCATGCTTCTTTCCTCCTGGTTTTGATAAGGAAGGTTATGTTCAAAGTCAAATTTTGCGTCATGCAAACTCCTACAAATTTTAGACAAAGACTGTTTTTATTAAGTAAAGATATGGAAGAGTTACTGGGATATATTCATAAACAGTGCTTAAAACCATCGTGGGTGATTAAAACAATCCTCAGTTGTCATAGCCACATGAAATGTCATGAGATTTGTTGTTTTAACAACTAGTAAGGAGTAAGTGAGCATTTATTTATAAACTAGATCTCCTATTTTCAGAATGCTTTTCTATATATTAATATAAAATGATAAGGAAGTCAAACATCTCAGAGGCTATTGCTGGGAACCCAAACTGTGAACATGTGTGAGTATCTGAATACATACTCACAGATGAAGCCCCCGCCGTGTACATTTATTATTCAGTGTGGCTTGGAAGGTGAGCACTCAAGAGATTGGAACTTGGAAAAGACATTATTCCAGCGGTGCCAGAACTTCAGCCCTTCATTTGAGAAATAAGGTTGTGCTTATACAGAGTAGGACAAATGTTGTGACCGATATCAGCCCGCTTGGCATGAATTCTCTCTAAAAATAAAATGTTGTGCGATTAGTGGTTGGCATCCCCCGTTATTGCTAATTCATTAACTTTCTGGATTTGGGTGTTGAACAAGGGTATACAAACTTAAGAAAATATGAATCCAATCAGTGTAATGACCTGGGAACTCTGGCTTCTACAGACTTCACTATATATTATATATCAGCAATGCTGTGGCTTTAAGTGTTATTTATTAGCTGTAAATATATGTGTGTATGTGTAAAGGGGGGTTGTACATATTGGAAAGGTCATTGTGGCTATCTGCATTTATAGATGTGTGGTGCTAACTTTGTACATGTCTCTATCAGTGACAGTCTCACTGAGCCAACTTACTCTGATGAAGTAATACAATAAAATGGGCTTAAAAAAATGAACTTACTTAACTATGTGAAGTTTTAATAAAATTGACAAAATTTTATTACAACACTAAGTCATTTTGTATCATTTTAGTCCCCTAAAATAGAAATTTATTCTTAGGGCAGGTTCATTCAGGAAATTTTTACTGAGTGACCATTTTATTTAGCAAAAAAANATGGCAAGAAGTAGAAGGTAAAATATGAAGTGAACAAAGAAAGAATAGAGAATTCTATGTACACTGTGATTTTTACAAAGTACCCATACCAGTACTAACTGATAGGGGATATATGAGAATGAAACTAATATCCCTGAATAACCAGCTAATTTTTTTCTCTTAAGAATTGTACTAAGGGGCCGGCTGAGTAGCTCAGTTGGTTAAGAGCTCGCTCAAGAGTTTGAGCTCTGAGCAACAGCGGTTCGAGTCCTGGCCCGAGCTGAGCAGTCGCTGAGCTGCCAACAGGTGGCAAGGATGGCTCAGCTAAAAAAAAAAAAAGAATTGTACTAAATAGTTCATATTGTTAGGATAAAAGTTGGAATCGATTAAAGGGATGGAGATATCTTTTGAAATACACTAAATGCCATGGACATTCTTCTTGAGTATTTTTGGACATTTTATGCATTTTTAAAATATCCCCAAACAATAAAGCTATATACACCTCAGGAGGAAGAAAAGAGGGGGAAAACAGCCAATTTCCAGAACTAGCTAAATATGTGGATTTTTGTATTCAGGCCTGAAGTTTCCACCAACAAGACATACTCCTTCCTAATTTACACGGAAGTGGACATTGGAGAGCTGCTAATGTTGAAACTCAAATGGAAGAGCGACTCGTACTTCAGCTGGTCCGACTGGTGGAGCAGCCCCGGCTTTGCTATTGAGAAGATCAGAGTAAAAGCAGGAGAGACTCAAAAGAAGTAATTACGTTCATTTTTCTCCATTCCCTTCAGACTCACTTTAATGTCATTACTTAGAGGTAGTATTTCTGGAGACCTCAACCTTCAGGTGAAACCTTAGTAAGCTTTGTTTTTAAAACTGTACCAGTTAGATAATTAAACCTATAATTTTTTTTTGGGGTGGGGGGGGAGGAGTGTTCTTTTATTATCATACTAGGGAAGTAATAGTGTTTCTGCATTTCGTGGAAAGACAACATAAGCCCTGTATTGGACACAGTTATGAGTAAGAACTGAGAATCTCAGCTTCTCATTTCACACTGTTTCCTGCAAGCACGAAACAGTGATGGAAAGAACCTCAGAGATGTGACTTTGACATTCAAAGAGTAAAACCAGCCTCTTCAAGAAGGATGAGGTTCCAAGATAATCTGACCCTGTCTTCCTGGTCCCACCCCACATATATCTGTAAAATGAATTGCATAGAGAGCCTCATAGGATTTAAAACTTTTATACTAAATGTACAGGGATTTTGCAAACTATCGGGTACCATTATTGGTAAAAAAAATGACTTTACAAAAAAAAAAGAAGAAGAAGAAGAAGAAGAAGAGGTTGTGGCTGGAGATGCAGAGCATTTGTTTCTCCAGCAGGGCCAACTGGAGGCTGGTTTGTGAATTCCCTAATGCAGATACTAAGAGGTGGTGATGTTGGTCTTGTATCATCTCTTGGGGAAAGCCTTGTAATTTTAAGGCTGTTTGTATGCCTGTCTACACTGACTAACCAGCTTTATTGCTGCACAGTGGGTTAAGCCCTCAAAGAACTCTGATTCAGGTGTTCAAAGAACCTGCTGACCAGAATAGCCTGGGTGTAAACAGTTAATTATCGGGAATATAAAAACAATTAATCAGACTGATCATGTAGGATTTAAACAGCTCTGAGTGAACCATACATTTTTGAACAGTCCTCTGTATTGTCCCACATGGTGTGTTCACATCCTTTTTCTTCCACAGGGTGATCTTCTGTTCCAGGGAGAAAGTGTCTCGTCTGCAGAAGGGAAAGTCGTCTGTGGTATTTGTGAAATGCCACGACAAGTCTCTGAATAAAAGGTCCGGCTGGTGAGTATCATGGATGGAGCCCTGCGGGCACCCCGAGCTTGCCGCTGTGGGGCGCGGCTGCTCGCTGTGCTCTCCACCCCAGAACCGCAGGCCCGCACTGATTCTTGTGGTCAGAACCTTCCGGGGGTCTTTCTTATGCCTTCCGTATCCACATCAGACTGGTCCGTTTGCTTTGGACAGTACTTTCTCTCTTTTTTCTCTTTTTCTGTGATTTCTGCCGTCTCTGACCTTCATCACAGGTACACTTTTTAGATTTTACTTCACTTTTTGAGCGACCACAAATTTTTCACTTGGCGCCTTTTCCTGGACTGCGTCCCTGCCTCCTGTACAATCCTGTGTGCAGAGCAGACAGCGCCAAGTTAATAGTCAGTGACTATGGTTGCAGCTCCTCCCGGGATGTAACCAGGGAAGTGAAACAGGAGCTGCAGCCACATAGGCCTTCTTGATTCCCCAAGGGCCTGCCAGCTCCATCCAGCATAGGGAACCAAAGGGAAGCCACTGAGCAGCCATCTTAAAACTCCAAAGGTGGGGCGCTAATGGAGTTAGAGTACAGAAGAGGGTTCTCATTTCCATCTCAAAACAACTTCCTGGCTCTTTTCTACGTGACCTTTAAGGCTAATCCACATGGCAGCTGGCAGCTGAATCTTTCCAGAACGTCATTAATAAGTGGAGACTAAGCATGTGACACTCCCCAACCCTTCCTGAGTTCTTGCGCTGCGCCACTTTCATTCCTCCACTCATTCCCCTGCCAGATACCAAGTACTAGTGGGAGTCACATATAAAGAGGGCAAAGCTTAGGTCACGTCCTACAAGCCAGTGACACCAGAAACAATGGGAAAGGCTGGGCACAATGTCATCTGGAAGCAGACAAAGCAATTGCTTTTGGTTTGTCTTCTCCCAGTGACATTTATAGACAAAACAACAGAATAAGAATTGCCTAATCACAAAAAGTACATTAAAGGCCCTACATAGAATATCTCTATTGTTTTTAATTTCTATTTTATAATGTAATTTATCCATGGATAATTATGGATTATGGATAAATTAGGAAATAGAGGCAAAAAG